AATGTGTGAGTAAAAATATTAACAAGGTTTCGATCAAGGAATATAAAATCCTCTGACTAGAACCGTTACTGAACACGTTTCCTCACAAACGCAAACAGAGCTCTACGTCTGTATTTTATTAAACAAAACTGTTTCCCGTTGGGTCAGATTAAAAAATGATAGGTCCTGAACCATATGTTGCACTTGAATCAAGTGCTGTAACTCTACCCTTGAGGAGTATGTGAGGAAAAACAAATAAACAGCAAAAGGAATGGAAGACTTCAAAAGGTCTTAGGCATACTAAAAAGTTTTTAAACGACAATGCCGAGGGATGGGATAAACTCATCTATAGCGGTGACAGAGAAGAAGCAAGTCTTAACTAGACATATGCCAGGAAGGCATATACTATACGAGTCTATCTTCGGACACACTATGCAAACTGTGCGGTGATAAATCGAAATCCATGAAACGCCTTACTGTCCGACTTGACTCGCTGAAACTGCGCAGAGATGTTGCATCTCTGTGCATCTTCTACCGAATTTATCATCGGGAGTGTTCTGAGGAATTGTTCGGACTGATACCTGCTGCTGATTTTCACCACCGTACAACCCGCCACAAACTAAAGTTTCATCTGGACGAGTGGCGGTCTTCCACCGTGCGTTTTTCAAGGCACTTTCTTCCACGCACAACCATTCTTTGGAATCAACTTCCAGCAGCAGTATTTCCGAACCAATACGACAACATAACCTTCAAGAAAATTATATTCAAAGTTAAAGTATATTCCTTTTTAAAAGGCCGGCAGCACACCTGCAATGCCGCTGGTATTGTGGGTGATCATGGGCGGCGGTAGTCACTTATCATGTGAGCCACATGCACGTTTGCCCCCTGTGTTGTAAAAAAAAAAACACTTGATGTGCAAATGCGATTCGTTGGCAAGTATGCGTATGAGTCTACTGGGAACGGCTTACCTAGAGCCAGGGGACTACAGATATCTTAAACCGCGGGATATCGTTAGGGTAACACATAGGATCTATGAAATGATGGTATAAGGCAGGGGGAAGCACAAAAGATCTCAATGGGTCGACATGCAACGGCTCAGCTGACCCCATATGCGAATATAAGATAATATAACCGTTTCCCGCGGCTTTGTTGGCGCGTATTAATACATAAAGTATCGTATGTATTACATAACATATACCCTCATCGTAACCTTCAAGGGAAATGCATTCCTTTTTAAAAGGCCGACGACACATCAGTAATTTCTCCAGTATTGCAGATGCTCATAGTAGTCACTTAGATAGATAGATAGATAGATAGATGACCTTTATTACCATTATTAAGAAAATAAATATTAAAACAACAAAAAAAAAAAGAACAATTAATGTTGCTGGTAATAGGACTTACCATCAAATCAAATCAATTTAAATTTATTTTTATTCCCTACAATACTACATTGTGTTGAATACTTTTACAAGTGACAAGAACATATCATAAAATATAACAAAACAAAAAAATATGAAGCAGCAAAATAACCAATAATAATTGTCAAAAATAACATTACAATCAATTTACAGATGTCATCAGTAAGGCATAAAATATGAAAAGAGTCATCAGATGAGCCGCATGTTCGTTTGCTCCCTGTGTTATATAAAAAAAAACAAATATATTTTTTTTATTGAAATCCGTTCAGCCATTTAAGCATGATTAATAAACATTGAAACATCTTTACAAACTTTCTCATTTATAATTTAATAAAATTATAGTATTACGAGATTGACGTTCCAAGAATTAAGCGACCTTAACATTGTTAAAGAGCCGCCTCGTATTTTATAGATTTCCAATTAAAAATTATATATAGTATAACAAAATTGCAGCAGTGTAAGTGTTTGAAACATTCTAAACACAAAGCCTGTCACGATACGGCGAGCAACACTCGAGTTGATAATTAAAAACCGATAATCCCACTCGAAGCATTAATAAGCGTTTGAGAGCTTCAAGGAAAAACTTGGCGTGTCAAACGCGCATTCGGCTACAAGTTTTAGCCACAGCCAGTGGCGCCATCTGAGTGGCACTGTAATGACGTTGAAATATATTAAAATCGATAATATCGGCCAGTATCATAAATTACCAGAATTAGTTGAAGCTTTCGGTAAATTGAAAAGTTTGATATAGACGCGGCGACGTCACGCTCGGCGTAACCTTTGTGATGCTCATTTTTTTTATACAACTTAGAATGGCAAACAAGCTGACGGTCCACCTGATAGAAAGTGATAACCGTCGCCTATAGATATGAACAGTACCATGGACATAACAGAGTATACTGTTTCGCCCATGATACCCTCCATGCGTTGCCATTCCTGAGGACTCAGGTGTTATTCCTCTGTACCCAGTAAATTCACGCCATATCCCACCCTTCAAACCGAAACACAGCCATGCAAACAAAACTGCTTCACGGTAAAAACACGAATGGACAGAGGTACCTAAGCAATCGACTTTTGTACAATGTCTCCCTCTGGTATTTACGGGTACTTATGTCCAAAGTCTTTGGTTTTGTTAAAAATAATAATATTTATTTTATCATCATCATCATCATCATATCAGCCTTTGACTTTCCACTGCTAAACATAAGCCTCCCCCTTGGGGAGTTTTGCCAGTAGTAGCCACGCTTGACAGGCGGATTGGCAACCGCAGTTAGGCTTTGGAGATGCTTTAAGGACGCTGGTGCCCATCCCATGCCCACCTTTAGTCGCCTCTTAGGACACCCACGGAAAACGAAGGAGTTCACAATTCAAAAATAGCTCGCGGGGAATCAGTTGACATTTTAGATTTCTCAACGGTTTAGGAATTTAAATTCCTCTCAGTTTACTAAATGGTCTTATATAAACCTGATGTATAGAGGTAATACAAGTACTTGGTGAAACGTTACCTACATACCAGTGAGGCTTTGTCTTGAAATCTAACCAGAACAGAACTCATGTGCACGGCGCACACCACTGCGCCTCAACACGACAGTGGCGCCACCCAAACCTTGTACGCCAGCGATTGAATTTGTACACGCTCCGAATTCGATTTAATTTGCAATATATTTAGGCAATCAATTGTGATTTAGATAGAAATCAATTGGCCCACCTGTCTGCCACCACGGCAACAGTTCAATTAAGACGCCGACTAGAGATATTCAAATTAGTCGATACAGTCGACGTAGGAAGTTATTGCTCTACAAATAATCTCAAACTATAAATATATGTAGGTATACAAGTCAAATAACGTTTATCGATTGGCCGGTGCCAGATTTATAAATCGGCCACTAGTACTATTCGTTGATTCAAATTTTGCCGCCACTACCGCCCTCTATAATTCAGTAACCTTATTTTACTTATAAGAGACAGAAATTAAGGCTATCGTTTAGGTAGACTATGCTGACTTAATTAATACATTATTTATTTTAATTTAATTTATTAAAAAAATTAATACGTTACCTCCTAAAAACTTATTGAGCTATATTTAAGGTAAATGTTGGATAAATGTTTATAAAATCTATCAAATAAATAACACTCCACACTACTTTTTTTTATGGGTCAAAATGGAATGGTAACCGCGCCCACGCTATTGGTATACACTGGCGGGGCACCAGTGAGGGATGAAAAGGTTGAAAAGGCAAGTCAATTGGCCCACCATGATGAATTCGACAAAAATTAATTATTATGGTTTCCAGGGGGAACCGCGTGGAAGGCGACCTGAGAGGGTATATTGCTAGCAATGTGGTTATTAGACCTCATTACTAACGATCCCTTTCCCCCCACTCCACAGTACTAGGCCTACACCGCCTGCTGGTAAATCCATTACTACCAATGGCCTAATAATATCTATTGAAACTGAAACCATTAGATAGATAGATACTCTTTATTGTTACCTCCTAAAGATTACAATAGTAAACTTATTATAAATATAAACAATTACAAGAAATAATCACAATGAGAAAACAATGGGCGACCTTATCGCTAAGATATATATATATATATATATATATATATATATATATATATATATATATATATATATATATATATATATATATATATATATATATATATATATATATATATATATATATATATATATATATATATATATATATAGCCGTCAAATTAGCATGAGAATTATATGTTATATGTATTTACTTTAATGAAATGATAATTTAGTACTGGGACCAATACAGAGATTTTTTTTTGATGGGTCAAAATGGTATGGTAACCCCACCTACGCTAACGGGATACGCCGGCGGAGCACCAGTGAAGGGTGATAGATGAGAATGAAAACAGGCCAGTTAGCCCATCATGATGAATTCATCAGAAATTAAACATGATAGTTTCAGGGGAAACCGCGGGGAGGTCGACCTGTTTGGGTATATTGCTAGCAATGGGATTCTTAGTCTCTATTACTAACAATCCCTTTCCCCCCAATACAGAGATATTAATAATAATAAACGTATTAAGGTTTCATCAGGGTTGTCATCACCGCGCGTGTCATACCTGATATTGTAGACGTACATAGGCTAAATCAGATGAGCCCGATGCTTGTTTGTAAGTATAAAAATAAAAAAAAATCCGTTTCCGATGTAAAAATACCGCGTACATAAACATTTTGAGGCAAATACAAAAATGTATTGAGAATTCAGAGTAAAAAATTTCGTTAAAACTGAATCAATTCTTGTCCACATTCCACAAATAGCAATGAAGTTATAGAAACACCGCAGCTACTTCTCCTTAATTTAAGAATGAAGTGCACTATAAATCACTATTTAAACCTGAGATTTGGAAGTTCCCCTTGAGTTAAGGTCACCCTCTCATTAATCTCGGTTAGCCGCGAATCGTGGTCTTAGAAGAAAATTGTACTTGACTATATTAATTATCTAAGTGGATTATTAAATAAACTTCAGAGGCCAGTATAAGTTGTACAAAGATATATATATAGATGCGGTTTGGAAATTGAAGTTTCAATAACCATTTGTCGTTCTACAGGTGCAAGAGTTTTCAAAACACAAAACGTGGGGAAGTTTGCCGCATTCCCGGGTGTACAGTTACGCCATCTGTTGGAGTACAACCTACACCAATACGTATGCCACACGTCCAGCCAGAGACATTTCGATTATTTATACAGTACGTTTATACCGGAAAGGTATGGTATTAATTTTGTCATTTACTTTAATATATTTCATAACTTCTATGTCTGTATTATTCGTATTACTTCATTATCTTTTAAATCTATATTATCTATATAATAGTACCATCTATGATCGAATAGCAGGAAACATCAATATTACTTTTTGTACTTAATAGGTAATGCGTCAACACATTTCATAAGATTACCAAAATATATTTATTCTTGCTAATATATTTTTACAAATATACCTAATCTATTAATTATGTTTTAAAGATAAACTACTAATCATTTTGCATGAAAGCCAACTTCGGCGTGCTACTGCAAAAGGATGTGTTGAATTATTAATGTACTAGATGGCGCTATTTAGATATTCAATCATTTTAACAAAATTATATTATTTTTAATGTAAATTATATTTACAAAAATAATTAAATTTATAAAAATGAATATTAATAAAAAAAATAATATATCTTAAACTCAGTCCAGTTAACACAACATAGTGATGCTTAAGTTACACATAAAATTATACAGACAAATGAAGAACGTCGGTTTTAAACGTCTTTTAAAAAATGAAAATGGCTTGTTTAACAGTTACTGCTACAAGACTCAGGAGTATTTGAGATGATGACATTAGCGGCTGATTTAGGAGTTGAAGATTTGCGTGCTGCTTGTGAAGACCATGTTACTTCAACATTGAGCGTAGAAAGCGCGTGTACCTTACTAGCCGCTGCTATGGAAATTCAAGATCGTCCAGGTAAAATTGAAATAATTATTTAATATTATTTTATAAATAAAATAAATTGTAAATTCAAAAGAATTTAATAATTTCGATTAAGTCTAACAGATGCGATGGTGGTGTAATGGTCAGCATAGTTGCCTTCCAAGCAGTTGATCCGGGTTCGATTCCCGGCCATCGCACACTTTTTGTTTATTTTAATATTTTGTATTATTATTTATTTTATTTATTCATTAGTGCACCTTGTACACGTATTTGCACAAAGTGAACTTAACACTAAAAACACTCTCCCAACCAATTTTAGGATAATTATCGGTATTTATTTTACATTATATTTTTCATAATTTATAATCTAAACACAGATTTTGTAAATAGTCACTTACGCTTCTTCTATTGAACTAGATCACAGATAAATATATTAAAATTAAATAAAATGTTTCTAAATAAATAACAGGTAATGTAATGGCATAGTAATACGCATTAACTGTAATTTTCTTTCCCTAACATTTTTTTCTACTAGTACCATGGTACTCATTGCCATAGACAAAGGAAAACGGACGTGTTCTTTTTATTAAAATTTCATTTGTTAGGCAGCCAATGTTGCCAACTTTTAAGACGTCAAATCTAGCTCAGTTTCTCTTCAAGTGAATTTGTTTTCATTTAACGTATGATTTATTGTCACAATGGGAAATCATTTTTATTTGCAAAAGTTAATGCAAATATTTTAAATGCGCTGCTTTCCTAGAACTGTTGATAATAAAATCAATATCTTTCTAAGGTAACAAAAACTATTTTCTATTTTATTACTGTTTGGATATCTTTATTAATTGAGCTAATTAATGAGCAATATAATTATAATTGAAATAATTAATTGATACTATTTAATGAGCAGATTCAAATAATTAAGTAGTACTTATTTACTATACATTGTTTTTAATTCGCTTTAGCCTTAAAACTTGACACCAAATTGGCAACATTGCTAGCAGCCATATTGATTGTCTATGAAATTGGCGTTGTTCTCGTTTTTCTGACGTAAAGAAGACGCCGGCTTTGGCGGTTTATAATTTTTGCAATTATAACTTTATTACTCCTAAGAATACAATATAAAAATGGCTTACAAGGGCCCACCAAAAGTCCAGAAGGTGATGGTACAACCCATCAACCTTATCTTCAGATATTTGCAAAACAGAAGTCGAGTACAAATTTGGTTGTACGAGAATGTTAATTTGAGGATTGAGGGACACATCGTGGGTTTCGATGAATACATGAACATTGTACTGGATGATGCTGAAGAAGTTCACATGAAAACGAAGAATAGAAAACAAATTGGAAGAATAATGATGAAGGGGGACAATATAACGCTCATCCAAAATGTGAATCCTAATGCCACAGTGTGATTTGTTAGGTTATAATAAACAATAGTGAATATAAGAATTAATTGTGAAAATTGTGACACACGATTTCTATTCTGGTAATTTTCATTAAATTTTAAGGTCCATATTGACTTTTATTCCACAACCTTAAATATCAAACAGTCCAATTTATTACTACTTACCAGTCAAATACAGAAAATTCATGAAGCGTTAAAACATAAAAATATGAATACAATTTATAGTATATTAGTCCTTATCATATAACTATCAGGACAAAAAGCTATGATATATCAGTACTTATTTAATTAAATGTAACAAATTGGATACATGTAAATTAAAATTAATTAATTACTTTTATAATGGAAACAAATGTACAAAGTTTTATATACTACTAAATGCCGAGATATACTTTTACAGCTACTAGATATTACATTATACTATGTTATATGCATTGTAGCATGGTATGAATGATGGTTAATATTTTGGCAGTATTTTATAGGAAATATGTATTCCGATTTTATTTTCTGTTACTATCACCACATATTGCCATGAGTATACATAGTTTATATATTTTACTGATTCATTTACAGTAAAGTCATGTTCACTTCTTTCAGACTCATATAAGTAATTTGCTTGCAATAGGTATCTGTTTCTACTCCATTTCTATGTGGAACTGATCAGCCAATTGGAACTCTTATGTCTATGTCTATTGTAAATAACATGGTATAATTTCAGTGTGAGTGATTGGCTTTATTGTCCCATCCACTCCAGTCCATAAAATTATGTAAGACTTTATTCAAATAATACATAAAGAGAAAGCCTATTGCTTTTTCTACCTCTAAATAGTTAATTAACTAACACAAAAACTAGTCAAATCACACATAAGCTAGTACATTATCCTTGCTAGTATTACAAATGTTGATAATAAGAGATAACAAACAAACTCGATGAACTGTCATGGAATTCAATATATACATACTACATGAGATGGAAAAAGATATAAGACTACTATATATTATGGTTGATTGCCATACAATGACATCCCAGTCAGGTGGACCGTGTTACTGGTAAAAGCTAGTAATGAACATGACTTTGTTACCATCTAAATTGATTTCAAGATATAATATGTAATAAATAGAACTGTACGCCCACCAATATGAATATTTCTTATACAATATATAGTACTAGTAACCCAGCCCGGCTTTGCATGGGCAGATGAAATTTTCGACAATAATATATAGCCTATGTTTAGATCATTTTGTTATATATGAATAATTCAATGTGTCAGAGTTTTTCTAGAACCACCCTCACTGTTATAACTTTTTATGGAAACTATTATTATGTAGGGTACTAACACATAGCCTATCATCAGTTGTAATACGCCATGCACAATAAAAAACCATGATTAATTTGTGTTGTTCCTTATTTGATATATAATACATTTAAAGAGGAATAATTCTTTCATACATATTTTATGGGTAACTTGAACTGTTTACGCACCATGCGTGCGTGTGGTTTTGCAATATTTTTCACTGATGCTTCACTCCTATTGGTTGTAGCATGATGTTATATAGCCTAAAATCTTTCTCAATAAATGGACTATCCAACACAAAAAGAACCAGTAGTTCCTGAGATTTGGCGTATTCAAACAAACAAACTCTTCAACTTTATAATATTAAGTATAGATATTATACTACATCTACAGTTCACACCAAACATGTTTGGTGTAGACAGGGCATTATTTATATTTTCATTACTTACCAGGTAAATATTAAAATCTATTATTGTAATATATAAGAACTTTTAAAAAAATATTGCCTTCAGGCTAGACAGGGATCGTAGAATGCTCCTTCTTCCTCTAATTCTTCTTTTCTTTATAACTTCTTTTTGTAATGTAAAAACAAACATTTGGCTTAATAACTTAAAAATGTGGATTGAATTTGAAATGGAATGAATTCCAGAATAATTACATATATAAACATTACATATGTAAACATTAAAATACATAATTTAAAACAAATGCTTCTGGTTCTAAAACACACATGTGTTCAAGTGCTAAAACCTGTCATTACCTATCAAAATTAGATACCAATTGAAAATAAATATTTAGAGTATTGTCTAGTTAAATAATTTAAATTTATATATATATTTTTTGTATGTTTTTTAAGTATTTATATATTTACATTAAACTATAAAACTACTTTTTATCTAATTTTCATACAAGTTTAAATATTAGGAAAATAATGATTCCTCTGATAGAAAGTGGTCTGATGCATGTTAAAGATGATCTTTATCACCTGTAGATAAGAAAAGCACCAAGGATATCACAGAATCCACTGTGCTATTGTACCTTGTGTATTACTATTTCTAAGGACTGAATTATTACTTACTATTAATACTATTTATTTATTTATTTATAGCAAGGCAACAGATTACAAATTAATACATTTATAAAATAAATATTACATAAAACAGCATTAAATTTGCACTCCAACAACTGCTCTGCATAACATTCGATATTATATACATTAAAAGAATGACGGCTATAAATTTAAAGTAACAAATTGGCAGCCTTAATGTAACATTGCAAGGATTGTTGGAAGATATCAAGGTCCTTGCATACATATATACTACCCTTCATATTCTATTAGTGGAAATCGCGTACGGGCAAACGTAGCGTAGGACGATCCCCCCACAAGATGGAGTGACGACTTGAAATGCATTGCAGGGAATCAGTGGATGCAGGTGGCCTAGAACCGTTCTTTATGGCAGTCTATGGGGGAGGCCTATGTCCAGCAGTGGACGGATAATGGCTAAAATGTTGATATGGATTCTTCGTACTCAACAGCTATGCAAACTGGCTGATGGCTTTATTAGCACACAACATTTCATTTTCTTAATAAATTTTTTTTTATGACATAAAAGAGTGAGTTACACAAATGCTTTTACTAAATTATCAGTTATTTTGAGAGAAGTCAATATCAATGGTTAGTTGATTGAAATTATTTTGTTTAATGATGCGTCATTAAAATAAGAAACACGGGTCATAACATGTAGGAGGTATCTATTTACTATATCTATAATATAACTTGATCTTCTCAAATTGTTTGTAGTCGCACGCATGCTAATGGCGACCACGAACAATTTGAAATCATATTTTTTTTAAATGGATGATAATGGAATGGTAACCCCACCCGCGCTATCGATATACACCGGCGGGGCACCAGTGAAGAATGATAGGTGATGAAGCAGGTCAGTTAGCCCATCGTGACGAATTCAACAAGAATTGTTTACGATGGTTTCCAGGGGGAACCACGTGGAGGTCGACCTAATAAGGTATATTGCTAGCAATGGGGCTGTCAAACTCCATTGCTTCCCCCTCCCCTGTTTTGAAATCATATTGTTGTAGCACTTAAAGTTCAAAAGTGTTTCTGCTTGATCTGTTTTAGAAAATCAAATGGCACGTCTTCTTACTACATTATTTTATTGCGAAGTGAAGTAACAATCCCTTTTTACTAATACTTATATTATAAAACATTAGGTGACTGCGTGTAGTGTGTTTGTGTGCATTAAGTATTGGTGTATGTATGGTATACCTGTATGGATTGGCGTGTGGAGAGTATGTTAAGATTACATAATTATATTCCTTTATTTATCTATAATTAGCTACAGTACATATAAAGAATTATAGTAATTTATTTATTTAAGGAACACCAACAGCATATTGCATTATAACATATAGGTATAACAAACATTAAATATAATACAATATTAATGCACATGCCTATTATAGGTATTCACAGCATTCACTTTAACATAGTTATACAGTGCGAGAAAATGAAGTAAATAATAAAAATAAACATGTAACCTAATTTGTGAGCAATATCAGAAAGTAAGATTATGAGTGAATTGAATTAAAAAATATTTAAAAAAAATATATCAACTAACCTGTTAAACAAATATTTTTAATTACTACCCTATAGTAATCAGACGCTTATAGTTGTCTCTTACCGGTGTGCTGAACGCGACAATGACGTGACGTTGACCTTTGAATTTAACATGGCAGGAGGCGAACCTAAGTGAATGATGTTAATAGTCAACTTGGGAGGAGGGAGAACGGATTATTAGTAATGGGGATCAGTAACCCCATTGCTAGCAATATACCCTGTCTGGACGACATCCTAGTTGTTGCCCCTGCAAACTATCGTGATTCATTTATTGTTAGATTCGTCACGGTGGGCTAACTGACCCGCTTCATCTTCACTTATCATCCCTCACTGGTGCCCCGGCAGTGTATACCGATAGCGCAGGCGAGGTTATCATTCCATTATCATGCTTTAAAAAAAAATAATCATCTCGGATTTATTTTTAGAGTTATTTTTACGAAATGTTACAGGTGGCAAAAGCGCGTCATCATTCATGGAGAGATGTATCGCCTTCATCGGGGACAACGCTGCTGACTGCGTTAAAACGAACGCCTTCCTGAACCTGCCCAAGGAGGCGCTCATTAAACTTATATCATCAGATTTTGTTAGTATTTGCCTGTTTATTTCGATGTGGGGTTTCGGTTAGAACCATGAGTGTCCATTTATTGTATTTACTAATACAATTAATGGACACTCATGCTTCTAATGCCTGATGGGACAGTCGGACATTTGTCGTATATTATTATTGTGGTAGTAGTGTACCGTGTAATAGAATAGGCCATCCCCTTCTTTCTTTTCCTTAAGCGAGGACGAGGGATGGGCAGCAGCGTTACTTTTAAAATATCTCCAAAGCCTAACTGCGGTTGCCAATTCGCCTGCCAAGCGTGGCAATTCTCATTCACTCGGCTTAATTTAGTTTGTTAACAGCGTTTTGATATCGTTTACTATCAGATGGGCTATCTGTTTGTTTGCCACCTTTGTGGTATAAAAAAAAGTTGGCCAGCGCTTTGGCTCTTAAGTCGTTTCTTAGTAATAGCTAGTTTGCTATATTCACACATAACTTTAGTAAAAACGAACTGCTTCTAATGGTATGTAGTAAAGTACATTCCCAACCTTTTTTTTTTGGCCATGTCCCACTTGAACATTTCTAAAATGTTTATGCCCCCATACATAATTTTTTCCATCAAAGTTTACTTGACGACTAATCGCCCAGTTGATATTTTGGTAACGTCAAACGAAATTTTACTTAATAAATATATACAGCATTTTTTATTTACGTTTTTCTTGTTAAATTTGTCACCGATATCTACTCGTAGCATTGCATTTAATTGGCCCGGAGCAAGAGGGTTAAAATTGCTTCGTGTCTATTTTTTAATTGCTCCCCTGTGGGGCTTGGGCCCCACGTCGTTGCGGAGGGCAGCTGTGCCTGGAGGAGGAGGAGGTGTGGCGCTGCACGCTGGCGTGGGCCAAGCAGCGCGCGGGCGTGACGCAGCCCACGGCGCACTGGGCCGAGGAGGAGCGCGCGCGCGTGCTGCAGCACCTGGCGCCGCTCATGGCGCACGTGCGCCTGCTGCTCATCGGTGAGCCGCCGCCCTCCATGATTTGTAACAGGCTCCATTGCAAAAATATCCACTTCATAACATAAAAATGTTACGTAAAATATAATTTAAAACATTGTTAATGTTTATAATCTTTGATAGATAGATAGATAAATTTTATATCTTACTCGTGGCACAGCAAGCATATATCGATAAATTGCGCAGGCGAAAAAAGATATAAAAAAAAATATATCCATTTAGTAACAATTTTTTCTCATTAAAAAAAAAATAACTCCAGCTTATTGCATAACGTAAAAACTTACGTGATTTTTTAAAGCATATATATATATATATATATATATATATATATATATATATATATATATATATATATATATATATATATATATATATATATAATTTAAGCAATTGTTCGTGTGGGCAGATAGTGCAGTGTTCGCGGAGGAGGTGGAGCCGACAGGCGCGGTGCCGATGGAGCTGTCGCTGGAGCGCTACCGCCGCGCCGCGCTGCTGGCCGCGCCGCGCCCCGCGCCCGACCGCCGCGACCGACCGCGGTATGGACACAGCCGCCGATACCACACTACACTACTACTACACCACCAGTAGCGCCACACTACACTACTACCACCGCGACCAGCCGCGATATGAACATTACCTCGCGCCACACTATACTACTGCCACCGTGATCGACCACGCTACTGACACTACCTCGCGCCACACTATACTACTGCCACCGTGATGGACCACGCTACTGACACTACCTCGCGCCACACTATACTACTACCTTCGTAACCTACCGCAGTACTGACACTACTCGGCGTCACACATTACATTATTAACAATGTTTATTAACATCGTGATCGACCGCGGTACGCACACTACCTCGCGCCACACTACAATACTACCACCGCGACCCACTACGGTACAGTCACCACGTCCCGTTACACACTACACTACAACCGTCGCGACCAGCCGCGACCGACTGCGGTATGGACAATGTATTATGTATACATATATATATATATATATATATATATATATATATATATATATATATATATATATATATATATATATATATATATATATATATATATATATATATATATATATATATATATATATATATATATATATATATATATATATATATATATATATATATATATATATATATATATATATATATATATATATATATATATATATATATACTTTTTAACAATTACAGATTGGCGGTGAACATGTTTTCTGGAAGTCTGATTTTGCAACAAGACAAAAGCGCATTTCAAGCTGTCATTAACAACTGGTACGATATTTAATCTATACATATAATAAATCTGTACAGAAGTCAATTCTGTACATGAAATATATTTCCAAAATAACTATTAGCGGGTGATTAGTGATCGATACTGATGCCAAAAATGCAATCAGTAAAATTTTTGTCTGTTTGTCTGTATGTTCGTTATAGAAACAAAAACTACTCAACGGATTTTAACGAAACCTGGTACAATTATTCTTCATACTCCTGGGCAGGTTATAGTATTATTTTCATTACGCTACGATCAATAGGAGCAGAGCAGCGAAAGAAAATGTTGGGAAAACGGGAGAAGTTACTCCATTTTTACGCTTCCGTCGCGTGTGCAGCCTTATTGGCCACTTTTTAAAATCTAATAATGTCCACCCGTGCGAAGCCGGGACGGGGCGCTAGTTTATAATAAATTCTTGTATTCTCTAATGAGAAATCTTATCGGGAACATTGTAAATGAGTAAATTTCAAAGAGAAGAAGAGTCTGTTTCAATCAAGTTTAAACAGTTATTATTGCATAGTTGTATCTCGGTCTGGAGGGTGGAATATGCCAGTGAAACTTAACTGAGATAGGATATACATATATAGGCATAATATTTTTGTGCTAATGTAGGAAATCCATTACAATACCATCAACGTCGTCACAGATAATGACGTCGTAGTGTACTGTTTGATAATCTATTCCGAATCTACCAAATAAAAAAAATACGATTTTAAACGAATTCGTTATGAAGTTTATTTGAATAACATCAACAAGGAGTTCACCCTTATACTTTACAGTCTAGCTAGACGACGGGAGCACCTAAATACCATCTTGAACTCTTCGACTCAGTGCAACGAGCTATAAGAATTGTCGATGATCCCAGGCTTACAAGCGGTATCGAACCCTTAAGTCTTAGGAGAGATTTTGTCTCACTCTGCGTGTTATACCGTTTGTACAATGTATTGTGCTCGGTGGAATTATTCAATATGATGCCCACGGCCACTTTCTACCATCGTTCAGCTCGCCAGCGACAGGGAGTTCATCCCCATATCCTACAGCCTAAATGGTCGCACAACGCGGTTTGAGAGATGTCTTCTCCCACGAACACTCAGGTTATGTAAATACAAAAAAATGGCATATCTAATAGGTACGTAGCGGAAATATTTATTGCCTGAATACCTGAATGTGACAGAAAGTGATCTCTGACTACCCCTCATCTAATGGTATCTGTTATTTATTTAGAACATAATATCAAATGGAGGCGAGTGTAATGTACACACACAATGCAGTTTATTTATATTTCTTTTTATTGTTATTTTTAATGAGGAGTTTCGCGACTGACTCTTGGCCACAACAGAATATCAGTGTTTTGCTCTTTTAAGGGCAAAGCAATAAACTGAGCTGTGACCATTTTGTGTTACTATGGCACACGCATGAAGGAAGGGAAAGAAAGGAGATTGTTAGTGTATATATGTTGTTTTTTTTTTTTTGTTTTGTGATTTTTTATTTTCATTCTTTTATCTCTTTTACTGTGTATTATGTGTATGTTTTTTTGTATTGTAATTTGTGTGCTGTAAGTAATGTAAATAAATTATCTATCTATCTATCTGACGTGGTGTGGTGGTGATGCAGGTGCGGCGGGCCGCCGCCGGCGTGGCGGCTGCTGTTCCGGGCGTCGTCGCACGGCTACTCGGCGCAGGCCTTCCACGCGCACTGCGACGGACACGCGCCCGTGCTGCTGCTCGCCCAGGTCAAATGCACTCGTAGTTCACTATTTTAACAGGCTCTGAACAGCGGGTCTACCATGAAATGAAATTCTCAAGTTTCGGACTCAATTTCGTGTTTTTGTTCACACCTAAATCGGGCCAGTAAATGGATACTCCATTTCGTTCGTTATACATCCTACCATAAAAGTCCCAAGGAATAATATTTTCATATTTTTAATGTTTTTAAACGGTAAGTATTATGTAATTTTAACATCAAATTTGTGTTTCGTTCGGCTCCGAAATTTCGGAAAACATTTCATGGTAGGCCCACAGGTCACTAGGAAGAAAAACAGTAATAATAATATAATAATAACTTTATTTAAACAAAAATGCGGGCACACAATTTACTAAACAGTGATTACTACACTAGGCTCGCAGGCCTGTCTCGTAGTAGCCAGTGAGTGGGTAATTAAGTTGGTACATATTTATTGCCATTAACATTCCGGTTCTTGTACAATATTATATTTTTTTTTATACAACTTAGAATGGCAAACAAGCTGACGGTCCACCTGATGGAAAGTGGTAACCGTCGCCTATAGACATGAGCAGTACGATGGACATAACAGAGTATACTGTTTCGCCCATGATACCCCCCATGCGTTGCCATGGACATAACAGAGTATACTATTTCGCCCATGATACCTCTGATCTCTCTGATTGTGCGTTCGTGAACGTGTTCAATTCCAGGTGTACTCATCACGATGGGCCATGATTATCATCCTTACCTCATCCTTCACTGGTGCCTCGTTAGCGTATATCTATAGCAGGCGGGGTTACCATTCCATTGTCATCCATTAAAAAAAATCATTCTATCATTATCATTATTGATTTGTTATATTTCCTTGTGTATATTATTATATATATTTTGTATAGCAATATATATATAATATGTTTTAGTATGTAAGTAGTTTAGTAAATTATATATATGTGATATTTTTGTGCATTATAGGTTTTTGTATTTTATGCATGAAAAATTATTAATTCACTCACGCGCCACCTACCAATTTCTATTTGTTCTTTAACCAAAGGTTGTCTGTAAGAGATTGCCTTAGCGATAAGACCGCCTTTTGTACCTCTATGTGTATATTTCAATCTGTATTTCACTTGAATTGTTCAATTGTCATTGTATATTTTTATTTATAGTGCAATGAAGAGTTGAGTTAAAATAAAATTATCATAATAATGCGTGCAGCTGGCGCGTGGCGAGGTGATCGGCGGGTTCAGCGAGGTGGCGTGGGCGGCGGGCGGCGCCGGCGGCTACGTGCCCGCCGAGCGCGCCTTCCTGTTCGCGCTGCCCGCGCCGACCGCGCCGACCGCGCCGACTACGCCGACTACGCCGACCGCCGCCGCCGCCGCGCCGCAGCGGTTCCCGCTCGTCAAGAAGGCGTTCGCGCTCTGCTACCATCCAGAGTTAGTGGCCTTTTAAATATAAAACTAACAAATATTTTACAAATCTCATACATGCTTCAAATCAAAATGCATGGATCCTTGACTATCACCACTATTTCATTATAAACTGGAAAACAAGAATGGCAAACAAGCTGACGGCCCACCTGATGGAAAGTGATAACCGTCGCCTATAGACATGAGCAGTACCATAGACATAACAAAGTATACTGTTTCGGCCCATGATACCCTCCATGCGTTGCCATTCTTGAGGACTCAGTAAATTCTTTGTACCCTGTAAATTCACACCATATCCCACCCCTCAAACCGAAACACAGCCATGCAAACACAACTGCTTTACGGTTGAAACACGAATAGGACAGAGGTACCCAAGCAAACGACTTTTGTACAAAGTCTCCCTCTGGTGAGGTGCGGTCAAAAAGTCGTACTATGGGGTACGATTAGCTCGGTCATCCCTCCTATTCTTCTGACGTGGCACCCTCACACTTCTATCTATTCCCAAACTTGAAGAAATGTTTCTGGAAGCGGTTCACGTCCGTTGAGAGAGCCGTAAGTGAATATTTTGACAACCTTTCCGGAAAGATTTACTGATGTTAGAGTAGTTAGTTTTTTGACAGAGCAAACATGTTTTTTTTTTTTATACAACTTAGAATGGCAAACAAGCTGACGGCCCACCTGATGTAAAGTGGTAACCGTCGCCTGTAGACATGAGCAGCACCATGGACATAACAGAGCACACCGTTTCGCTCATGATACCCCCCCTGCGTTGCCATTCCTGAGGACTCAGATGTTATTCCTCTGTACCCTGTAAATTCACGCCATATCCCACGCTTCAGCCAACATAGCCATGCAAACACAACTGCTTCACGGTTGAAACACGAATGGGACAGAGGTACCCAAGCAATCGACTTTTGTACAAAGTCTCCCTCTGGTAGACGTATCGTCGTCATATTATATTAATAATAATGTTTTAAAGTCAATCAATCATCAAGACCATTATCGAATATGCCAAAGCTATAAGGTCATGGCAAAGCAAACTCAAAAGCGGAATGTAGTTAAACTACAAACTTGGACGTCTATTAGGAAGTCAGTTTTCGCAGAAATGTTGTAACGTAATCCGGACAATTACGAGGTGTGAAGCTTTAAAGTGAGTGTCACCGTACACCGCCGCGCCGGCAGGTGTCGCCACCGGGCCGAGGGTCGTATTACCGCGCCCTTCGGAATTATACAACTTATATTTGCGGTTGCGCGTAATTTCATATTGACCGTAGGTCGTCTTTAGGGTTTTGTAATTACATAAAACATAATCCTATTAATATTAACTATTTTTATGAAACTTTTGTAAATATTTTTATTTATTTATTTATTTATAGGATTACTGATATAAGATAAAGTATTTCAATACAATACACTAGTGGATTAGGTCTAACTTCCTCCTTCCTTCCCCGTGGGTGTCGCGAGGTAACTAAGGGAGGGTAAGGGATGGGCAGCAGCGTCCCTCTTAAAACATCTCCAAAGTCTAACTGCGTTTGCCAATCCGCCTGCCAAGCGTAGCAACTACTGGCAAAACCCCCCCAGACATGATGATGATGAATCATTTTTGATTTGCAGAACAAAACTATTTTTTTTAACCGACTTCTGTGTATGGTTATGTTATAGTTGTGGTCCGATCTTCGGCGCGGGCGCAGACCTGCTGATAGCGAGCAACTGCAACACGAACACCGAGAGCTACAGCAACCTGCACTCGTACGGCGACCCGGCGTTGCCCGCGCCCGCCGCCTCCCCCACGCTCGTCGCCGACTACAACTTCACCGTCAGGGACTACGAGATATTTACATACAAACACAATTAATTATATATATATATATATATATATATATATATATATATATATATATATATATATATATATATATATATATGTGTGTGTGTGTGTGTGTGTGTGTGTGTGTATACAGTATCATTATTATGGGAGAAAATTATAAAAAAAAATGCACCAACGTAAATGGCTGGGCATAAGTTCAAACAATACAATATTCTAAAACTGTTCTAATTAAAAACTCTTTAAGCATAACCTGAAATTAAAATCAATAAAGTCATAATTAGATTTTTCTGTATTAAAAAGATCGCAATTTGAAAATAATTTGCAAAGAATAAACCATTTTTAGTAACAGTTTTTTTTTTAATTTCACTTCGTTGTTGTTTTGTTTTGTTTTTTTTTTATACCACTGTGGTGGCAAACAAGCATACGGCCCACCTGATGGTAAGCGGTTACCGTAGCCTATGAACGCCTGCAATACCAGAGGTATTACGCGCGCGTTGCCGACCCTGAAGAAACCTCTTTACCCCCTTTTGAAGAACCCCATGCTGTAGTCTCTCGGGAAAACCTCGGCAGGGAGCTCATTCCATAACCTGAGTGTTCGTGGGAGAAAGCATCTCTGAACCGCGTTGTACGCGACCATTTAGGCTGTAAGGTATGAGGGTGAACTCCCTGTCGATGGCGAGCCGTACGATGATAGAAAGTGGCCGTAGGCATCATATCGAACAGTTCCTCTGAGCACAATCCGTTGTATAAGCGGTACAACACGCAGAGTGAGGCAAAATCTCTCCTAAGACTTAAGGGTTCAATACCGCTTGCAAGCATGGGATCATCGACAATTCTCATAGCTCGTCGTTGCACTGAGTCGAAGGGTTCAAGCTGGTATCTAGGTGCTCCCGCCCATAAGTGACAGCAATACTCCATATGGGGCCGGATTTGCGATTTGTAAAGCATTAATCGTTGATCCGGCGTGAAGTAATGCTTCGCTCTATTGAGCACACCGAGTTTTTTAGATGCCAGCTTCACCTTATCTTCGAGGTGGCTACGGAACTGTACGTCACTAGAGATGTCGACACCAAGGATCCCAATGCTTTTAGAGATGTTAAGAGACGTGCCCTGGAACTGTGGGGCCACAGCAAATGGGGTTTTCTTAATTGTTTAATAATAGCGATTTGAAATTTACAGATAGAGAATAATTTTAACAATAAACTGTATCATCTTATACCATATATTTTTTTAAATGGATGATAGTGGTGTGGTAACCCCGCCTGCGCTATCGGTATACGCTGGCGGGGCACCAGTAAGGAATGATAGGTGACGATGAAAAGGCAGATCGGTTAGCCCATCGTGACGAATTCCACCAGAATTAATCACGATGGTTTCCAGGGTCTCCACGTGGAGTTCGACCTGATAGGGTGTATTGCTGGCAATGGGCCAATTAGACCCCATTACTAACAGTCCCTTTCCCCCAATTCTTCGAGTTGGTGACCGCAGTTAGATCTTAGAGACATTTTAAGAAGAACACCGATGCCTATATCTCGACCATTAAGTTCCCATAATCAGCTCTTACGACACACATGAGAAAGCAAGGGGTGGCCTATTCTATGCCAGAACCACTCTGCAATATCATTAAAATGTGGGGAAAGGGATTGTTAGTAATGGAGACTGAGAATCCCATTGCTAGCAATATACCCAACCAGGTCGACCTCCTCGCGGTTCCCCCTGGAAACTATCATGGTTAATTCCTGATGAATTCATCATGATGGGTTAACTGGCCTGTTTTCATTCTCATCTATCACCCTTCACTGGTGCTCCGCCAGAGTATTCCGTTAGCGCAAGCGGGGTTACCATACCATTTTCATACAATAAAAAAATATCATTAAAATAGGAACACCGATTATTTATTAACATTCTCAAAGATGCGTTATAGCGCTCTCTATAGGAAATGCTATAAAACAGTAAAAGACAACGGCAAGTTTGAAATAGAATATTTTTAGTATTACACATGACTTACAGATGGCGCTGACATAAGAAAAAATATTTTTAAAGAGCGATTTAATACGATCCAAATGGTGATCAAAGCAAATTGATAGAAAGTAGTATCCTAAAAATAACTGCAACACCGTAGCTCTAAACCGAATCTAGTGATTCTTTTTATACAGTTTTCAATTTGGAAAAAAATATGTGGGAGGTTTCTGAAACATTTTCATTTTACAGGCCTGTAGTAAACGAAGTCTAAGCTAGAACATCACATTTCCAAGAGGAGCTCTTCATGGCCGATTCTTTTTGCGATTGATTACGGTTTACTTTTGTCAGATACTATTATATTTCTGTTCCTTATATTAATGTTGTGAACGGCATCTAGAAGTTTTTTTTTATACAACTTAGAATGGCAAACAAGCTGACGGCCCACCTGCTGGAAAGTGGTAACCGTCGCCTATAGACATGAGCAGTACCATGGACATAACAGAGTATACTGTTTCGTCCATGATACCCCCTTGCGTTGCCATTCCTGAGGACTCAGGTGTTATTCCTCCGTACCCAGTAAATTCACGCCATATCCCACCCTTCAAACCGAAACACAGCCATTCAAACACAACTGCTTCACGGTAGAAACACGAATGGACAGAGGTACCCAAGCAATCGACTTTTGTACAAAGTCTCCCTGTGGTAATTCATTTCATTAGTTCTCTTATTGCTGAAATAGGTTTATTAATAATGGGATCTAACATCAGGATCTATAAAGGTGGAGGTTGACCTCCACGAGGTTTCCACTGGAAACCATCTTGGTTATTTTTTTTTTTATAAATTTGTTACAATGGTCCGAAATATAATGGGCCACAGGTTAACATAATTTTTTTTTTTTTTTTATACAACTTAGAATGGCAAACAAGCTGACGGCCCACCTGATGGAAAGTGGTAACCGTCGCCTATAGACATGAGCAGTACCATGGACATAACAGAGTATACTGTTTCGCCCGTGATACCCCCCAAGCGTTGCCATTCCTGAGGACTCAGATGTTATTCCTCTGCACCCAGTAAATTCATGCCATATCCCACCCTTCAAACCGAAACACAGCCATGCAAACACAACTGCTTTGAAACACGAATGGGACAGAGATACCCAAGCAATCAACTTATCACTTATTAAAAAGAATCTAGTACATAAATTTTTTGTATAATCTCTTAGTAAATAAATAACAAACACTGTCTTAAACCACCAGTATGACGAATGAGCGGAACAGGCGTAGCGCCGCCGCCACCGCCGCCACCGCCGCCGCCTCCGCTGCCTCCGCCGCTGTTTACACCCCATTTCCTGTAGAAAACAGTAACATTATTGATAAAAAGCAAACAAATGTCGACGTTCCCAACTGTATTCGAATCAACTACTTTATTTACCGATCATTTTGCTTTCGTTTCACTTATAAATCGCTCGATTTGTCTTAGCGTCCGAATCGTTCAGGCGTTGTAGGTTTTCCCAGTGTATCTGTTACATTTGAATAAAAAACAACAATCGTATTTCGGTGTTTAATTTTTAAACGACTCCAAAATTGAGCAGGTTTTTTTTTAGATATATTGTTCTCGATAACTGTATATCTAAACTTATACTGTAAAGGGGGAACATTTGATTTATTTTTGTGTTTGTTTATAAGGGATAAACTTGAAAAAATACTTTATCGATTTTAAAAATTCTTTCACCTATAGAAAGATGCATTATCGGGGAATAACATGAGTTTTCTTTTGTACTCAAAAATTCGTGCAAAGCCAGGACGGATCGTTAGTCGCAAATATGTCGGTACATTCTTTTTCCTTTTGTTCTAAATCTTTTATTGTGCAGGCAGCTCGCCCGTGGAACTCACTACCTGCCTCTATTCGGTGCGCTCAAACTCACGCCAGCTTCAAATCCTCTGTTAAATCCTACTACCTCACCCTTTAGTACTATTTTCCTGTGTTCTCTCTTTATTTTCCTTTGTCATTCTCTTCTGTTGTATGTGTGCTATTAAATATGTGTATATGTATATACATACATACATACATACATTCATTTACCAGTGGGAGATTGTACAAAAGTCGTTTGCTTGGATACATGGATTTACATGGATGTGTTGTTAAAATCGCTTGAGAAGTTTTTTAAAATATTCATTATAAACAAAAAACCAAATCTTTTCTCTATAAATATTCATCATTCATCATCATCATTATTTCATCCACTATCCGTCCACTGCTGGACATAGGTCTCCCCCATAGACTGCCATAAGGAACGGTCTGCATCCACTGACTCCCTGCAATGCATTTCACGTCGTCACTCCATCTAGTGGGGGGTCGTCCTACACTGCGTTTACCCGTACGCGGTCACCACTCAAGAACCTTCCCCATCGGTTGTCGGTTCTATGTGACCAGCCCATTGCCACTGGGGGGAAAGAAATTGTTAGTAATAGGGTCTAATTTGCCCATTGCTAGCAATACACCTTATCAGGTCGACCTCCACACGGTTCCCCCTGGAAACTATCGTGGTTAATTCTAGTGGAATTCGTCACGATGGGCTAACGGACCTGCTTTCATTTTCACCTATCATCCCTTACTGGTGCCCCGCCAGTGTATATACCATTAGCGCAGGCGGCGTTACCATTCCATTATTATACATTAAAAAAAAAACCCATTGCCACTTCAGCTTGCTTATCCCTCGGGCTATGGCGATTATTTTGGTTCTTTTGCGGATATCCTCGTTTCGGATTCTGTTACGCAAAGAGACTCAGAGCAGGGCTACCTCTCCATAGCGCGCTGAGTAACTTGTAGATTTTACATACGGACAATCGTGTAGGACCACGTTTCGGTTCCATAAGTCAACACTGGTAACACGCACTGGTTAAATACCTTCATCTTCAAATTGTGAAGGGTTTTGGATGAAAAGATATGGCGTAGTTTCTTGATAGTAAATATTACTACAGATATATAATGTTTACCATAGTTTTTATGTATGTATGTATGTGTATGTATGTATATATATGTATGTGTGTATATATGTATATCTATGCATGTGTATATTTCATATATATTAGTATAACTACTTAATTTATTATGAATATATGTAGTATTTATGTGTTATATGTGTATTTCTTATGTATTACTATGTATAATTATTTCAGTATGTTCCTATAATTATGTCACATATTTTTCACTACATCTGCCCTTCATACGCTTGTTTTTACCTAATGGTTAGCTGGTAGAGAATGCCATATGGCATTAAGCTCGCCACTTGTAAAAATTTTTATTGTGCAATAAAAAATAAATAAATACTTGTAAATATATTATAGTAATTGCTTAAGACTAGTCTGTAAGCATAGCTTACCTTTAACTCCAGCGTTAACG